TGCAGTGGTATAACACTGGGAGGCATCGGTCCCATAACTTCGCTCCCAGAATCGTTTCGCAGATTCGGAACACAGCTTTGAGATCAGTGTTCGAAACCACCTACAGGGGTATTCATCTCATCTTGAATGGCCACTGCGACCAAATGTCCTACCCTTGTAAGACCGTCAGTACCTACTTTATTGGCACATTTAATGCATAAGACTAGCTCACCAGAGCATCGGGTCTCTCGTCTTCCTTCCAGTCCATTTTCGAGTTTTTTGCCGCAATTTGGGAAGCCTCCTGATGTCATCTTCAAGAGACACTGTTGAAGCCGAAACAACCCACACTTCATTTTCGCGGTACTGTACCACCATGTGGTCACCTACAGAAGAGTTTTTGGTCTTTCCAACCATCCAGATTCCTCTTTGTCCTAATGCTGAACATTCATTGATCTTCCTCCCCACACAGTTGTGATGTGATGAAATCATGCAGTCGCCTACCTTCCTGAAAGATCGAAGCGCACAGGAAACGGTTGACACTTCGAAGTTCAGCCTTTCAAAGGCAAGCTCAAATAGCACCGCTCATACCATGTGAAACGATGACTACAGAGCGGTACCTTTAGGAGCTTCCTATTGTGCACATTTTATGTGCCTGCCGTCCATCGTAACCATAGTCATTTTGCTCTATCTCCTCGACTTTAATTAGATGGACCGCTACTATTGACTCTGTTTTCGACACCAAACTGCAAGAGCATTCCTAACACGTTTTGCTTCTGGATGAATGCTCTGGGCTGCAGTGAGCAGATCTTCTTTCCGCTGAATTTCCTCAGAAAACATTCGCCAACGTTCCTGCACTAAATTATTGACCTTGGTTCGGAACGCGTCTTCCAACTTCGGGTTTAGAGTATCCCAAGCTTTGTATGGTCGTTTTTGCGATAAGCTTTAGAATTACCTCGTGTAGCCTCAAGCAGTACTGTGAAAAGTGACCAAGCCAGTACTTATTCTCAGAGCTTGAAACGACCGCTTACTTACCGTTATATGCAGCACGACCCCTTTGATTTACCAAAAAATCGAAGATTAGACGCTAGAATTAGGCCTATCTAACAAGAAACATTTATTAACAAGAAACTTAGATACACGTAATCATGCAATAATAAATCACCATACTAAAATAAATAACAATAATAACCGAAATAATAAATTATTACAAACAGATCACCTATGAAAAACGATTATCAATCTGGAAGAGCTCGAAGAGCTAGATTAGTCCAAACAAATTCAGCATCGTCTGCTTCGCTTCTTCTCCAACGACCACAAGAACTGTGGTCGCTTGGATTGCCTGAATTAGTGTAAATTATGATAAGCCTTCACAAACAAGGGAAACTATACCTTTTCTTCCACTCCGAATAATGAGACAAGTTTCCACTGTTTTTCAAGCGGCTGGCTCGTGCTCTTAGCCTTTCTATAACATCCCGCATTTCGTGATCTTCACGCGAAGGAGAAGGTTCCGTTTTAACAACTACATCGCGATCATCACTGTCCACAGATCTGAAATAATGTATCGAGGTCTGTTTTAGTGCAAATGCAATCTTTTCTGTGAAGTTTATGGTCACTCTGAGTCATTAGGATGGGCCACACCTTGAGCACATAATTACATATGATTGCGCTTCTAGCACAAGCACAGAAATGACGATCCTATCTGGACGACCCGCTTATCCCTCTCATCTCATATGGGCAAATCTGCCTCAAAAGGAATGGAGGACCAGCTAGCAAACCGTCGTAAACGACAAGAAGATAGTCCGAAGCTTTGGCCGGTCGCGGATCACGAGCCACAACTCATTGGGCCCATCGCGCGCAACAACTCGTGGAAACTCGGACACAGGACCTCAAAGAGTGACTCTGTTGCAAATCCACTAGCGTTCACGTCCCACTTGAATATTTGAACGAATAAGACACTGCTGATAGTCGTAAGATAGAGATAATGCGGTAACCTCAGAGTCCACAAGAAGGGATAAGGGGCAAGATTTATTTTGTGATGTGCGTGCACTCACAAAAGACTCGAACCAAAGTCACCGGTACTCACCCAGAGACGCAAGTGGATATAGGGCATGAACTAGTTGTTTTTGCTAAGGTGTGTCGATATACCATCCTTACCCTAGCACATGTATCCATGCGCACGTGTGTGAAGAGTCTATGGTGTAGTTGGGCAGTTGGTATCGTGCCCATCGCTCCGTCAAAGACTTGCATTCGAGTGACTGGGAAGTGTCGGGGAGGGGAGATAGGGGCTATTGAGAATAGGGGGATTAAATACGACGTCACTAGAGTGACCGAGAAGAGAATTCAGCACCTCTACGCCGTTGCGATTAAGAAGATGTGGCTCAACTCCAGGGCTACTATGAAGTTGATACGTAATTCCACTGTGTGCGCACTTTCATTTTCCTAAAATGGACAAATGACGCAGTTACTCATGATGCATGCATGGTCACCGATACGGATTACATGACGCTTATTATTGTCCATTGGTATGTTTGTCAAGATAACAACATTTGTCGAAACCGCTCGTGCAATGCACTGCCGAATCTCTGCTGCAACTGGTCGGTCGGTTAGGTCCTCCGACCGGGTAAGCCACAGCTCACTAGCTTCGGGCTATTTTCAATACTTGACGACGGTGACTTCGAATTGTCGACCAAATAAGGCTCTATTATAAGAAAACTATCTGGCTAAGCAGTATAAGATTGTGTAAGCATTGTGTGAATGCCTATGAACTCGGAAACTATAGGCAACCAAAGTGGCAGTCCACCTACAACACTTGGTCAAACTGTTCCCTAGCTCTCTACCCTACTCTCCTCCTACGACTATCACTTTAACAAAATAATTTCCACGAATAGAAAAAAGAAACGAAAAACGATAAAAACGCACTTCTCTAAGTTTTGGTCGCAGCTCCTGTTTCCTCTTTGCCTTTTCCACGATTCCTCTGATCTGTTTTGTTCACATTCGCTATCGTTACATCTTTTCCTTCGACTGCGTGACCTATACCTTTTCATGCCATCATCTCTCCTTGTGAGCATGTCGTCTCCGTCCAGAATTGAGGCAGGGAACATCTGGAATCTGTCCGGAGACTCACTGCGACGGCGACGGCTGAGTGGTGTTCTTTCGAACAAGTCGGAATGTCTAGTAGTTGAGCGACTTGTTCCTGCTTTACTCGATCGTGATATGTTGATACGTTGACTCCGTGAACGTTTTGGTTCAGTGCGTAATGAATCAACTGTCTTTGAACGTTTCCGCTTCTCTCGAGTACGAGACCTCGCCCTGTTCTTTCTTCCACTGCCAGCACTTTTTCTTCGCTGGGGTGAATCAATATTGGACTCCAAAAAGTGTGGATCTACAGAGTGCAGTACAGTGATTCCATAACTGTGGCGTTGCCTACTACCTCGTTCATGTCGGCATATAACCACGTTCTCTGAGCGTCCATTCATTTCCGCTTCGAAATGAATACGAGATTCTATAGAATGGCCCATTCCGCATTCGATCCATTCGTTCCTATGCCTTCTCGATTGCGCCATGTCATTACCTAAGACAGACTGAATCGTCACACTGATACCACTCAATAAAAATCTGACACAGTATGAATACGATGAAATTGTGCCTATTATACCTTTCTGTCTAGTTCATTCTCTTCTTAGTTACATTTTTCTTAGTATTGCTCTCAGTGACTAATCTTTGTTAAAACTCCAGGTTTTTTCGACAATACTGTATCACATCAGGCTCACCCAAGAACATTCCCCTGGGAAGCCCTTGACCGATGAATCTAGCGTGTTTCGTTTTTGAAAAATAATTATAGTGGTACCTAACCAATAAGACATTAGCCGAGTCTTGATGCTACCCATTCTCGAAGCTTTCTTATATTTAAATGAGCAACTGACCGTCCTCAACTGTGTGTGGTGGTAGCTGCTCCCGATCATATGGACGCCCACCTGTACAACGATTGTCATCAAGAGGAACGTAGCAGCTATTAATCTGAAGAACTAGGCACTTTGATCACTTTCATTGGTTATAATTATATTTTATATTTTTCAGATATAATAGGTCTTTGATAAACAATGTGGTAATTCAGGTATCCAAAGGTCGAAATCTCGGAGGAGCTAAGGAAAACACATCTCGAAGTAAACAGGCTAGCTCTGTAAGGTCAGACATAATCGTAACCCCAGGGAGAACACTAAAAGTAGAAACGAAAGATCTAAAACTCGCTGGGAATCAGCTATGTCTTGTTACGATTCGTCCCGGAGATTTGCAAGAACAAAAACCCCACTCGTACTGGCCTCCTAATCGGAGTAAAAATCACATTCTGGGAGCGTTTCTCACGCATAATCTGTGAAAATTATTTCCCAATTTTGGCGCTATGAGAAGTAGTTGTAGGTAAATTTGGTGGCTTTTTATTTGTCGGACTCAGTGACCCGATGTCAAGTATACAAGAATAATGTTTTGGAAAACTCATACAAATGGGCGAAGTGTCGAAGGACCTGGTACCAAAGGGCTCCACCACCAAAAGAGTGGGCAGGGATCTGATTTCGGATCTGCTCCCGCTCAGACCAACTATGGCTTACATGCCCAGGAGCCTGGGTGCGCTTCGTTACGCGCGTCCGTCGAAGGTCACGTCGCAGCCGTCGCCCGCGGCGCGACAGCCTGCGATTTTTGACAGAAGTCGCAGATGGCAATGGGGCATACGATTGGCGATTGGGTCCACGGCAGTCAGCTTAGAGAGGAGATAGCACGGAACGATGCTAGAGAGAGGGGTGGCCTAGTTTAAATGGAAGAGAGAGAGAGAGGAGTGGCTTAGTTTAAATGGAAGCGTGGAACGGACGTTCCTCTTGAAGGGTCCAAGAAGATGGAAGCAGTGAAGCGCATGTGTGACGGTTTCAAGTCATTGTGTAGGCCGAAAACGCAGTCAAACGGCTATGCTCTTTTGAATGGAAATCAGACGTATGGAAGTGTCCTGGAGCGCCGGAACGAGAATGAACAAAGTTTGAGAGTCCCACTTTCCTTGTAATTCAATTACGAACTCGTTTACCTGGTCGATGCCCGGGATTCGTTCTTGGTACTGTTGGTACAGAGTTGCGCTGCTAGGACGCCTTCGTTGACTCTGAGGAGCTTCCATAGTTGGTGGTGAAACTTCTGCATTAGGAGGAAACAGGCCATAGGATGGTACCGAATGTTGTGGATACGACATTGGAGCAGGTTCAGTAGAGAGCGACAAATCTTGTCCATGATGTAGAGAATATACTTGCTGGAAGGGACCGCTGTTCACTCGAACACCATCCGAATAGACCGGAGCCAATACAGGATAGACTGGCTCATTCGACGGTAGGGCGACGTTCGGCAACGATTTGCTCAGGTATGCAGGCTGCGCCTGGAAGAAGAGCGGAGGCTGCTCTGGTGTTCCTGCTAATGTCGAAGACGAATCTGCTTCAACATAGACGGTCGAATCCATGGCTTGTGGCTGATCCGGCAACACCACCTCTTGACGCCTGTCGGTTCGTGGTGGTGGACTGCGATCAAATAGCCTGCAAACGAATTACTAACTTTAAAATAAGTAATAATGAAGAAGAAGTGAAATAAGCCGTGCGTTGAAGATAGGAACAAGCGCACACTATCAAATGTAAGATTAATGGCTATTCAACTCACTCTTTTACTTTTAGGCTCATAAGTGAAGGTATTGAAGTGGAACTCGGCGGACTATGGGCTTGAAGAAATGAAGCGCTGGAACCAGGAGTGCGTGGACTCTGTTGAGGACTTTGTGTGGCAGCAGTTGATGGGCTGTTACTTATCGTTGATAGACCTTCATCTGCCTCGATATTGTAAGATTGTGATTGTTTCAGTGGCTGAAACAACAGATACTCTTTCCAGTCGCTTCTTTCACTGATTTTGGTTTCTAAAAAGCTTTTGCGAAGTAGTTTTTATATGTTGTAATGAATTTAATCGAAAAGGGGACCGAAAATGAATCTATGGTGTGGATCTTGTGCGGACCATTATCATTACAAGGAGAAAGAATTTGTAAGAAACTGAGCCTCGAAAACATCATTAACGACGATCTCAAATGATTACTCATCCCAGACAAACTTTTCATCCTCTGAAGTTGGTTAATACTTACCGGACTCACCTACAAGATGAAAGCACTGACCGACTCGAATTATATTGGTTGAACACCACTCCTCTTTCCATGGGCCAAGTACGCATCCAAAAGGTCCCTACGACTCTGGAAGAGATTCGAATGCGAGCCGCACTCGATTTCCTTTCAAAATCTTAAGAAAAATCGTCAGCGGACGCATAGGTCAGTGCTTCTATCGTCCCGAAGTCCGGTACCATTTGAAAGACCTCGTAGGAATGGAAGGCTGGGAAGGTTTGTCTAGGTCAACTGTCTAGGTCAAGGAACTCGAACCCGTGATCTTGCGTGTGTAATAGTGAGCCACTTGCTACTACACCACTTCTGTCCATAGTTACAAAAAAACATCAGCGAAAATCGTTAACTCGTCGGGAAGACAATTTTTCAAGGGCATCGTATTTTCCAAAAAGTTACTGGAAGGCAGCGACTAGCTTGACTATTGCTTACTGAGCAGTTAATATGAATTTTAGGGTGAAGAAAGTAATTGAAAGCCTCTACCTCGAGTTCTTCATCTGAAACAAGCGAATATCCATCAATCAATTCGTTATCTTCGGTTGCATTCGGAACGGCTTCAGTAGCCGGAGCCTGAGCCACCGTGGAAGTCGCAGAAAGAACGGGACGAGATGGTAGCCGCTGTTCAGTCGTAGGTGGTGATGTCTGCATCTGCCCATCTCTTTTGGTAATGGGGTCCGGGGAAACTGGACATACAGCAGGCTAAAGGAAACTTTCAGAAAATCAAAGGATCCAGACCAAGTCAAAAACAAATACAATTACCTCCCTATTAAAAACCAAACAATTCAATAACTCTTCTTCTCCGTAGTTCACTAAAATAAGACTGGTGAGAGGGCATTTCTCGAAATATAATTTCAAATATCATCAAATACTTACATTCGTAAAGCATTAACTCTGTGCACTTTGTAATAGCATTCTGAAGGTGGCAAAACATTTCAAAATCTACCGTATCGAGATCAATAGCATCGAGGGGCTGAAACTGTCTTTCTGAAGTGATTGATACAATAGTAAGAGTCCTAGTCACTAGGTGAGATTGCAATTTTCGAACGAAAGTAGCGGTAGGCATTGGCAATCGGATCAGTGCCCACAAGCCAAGAAGACAGTACGAGACTCATGAGTTTGAGGCCCATAATAGACCAAGGTCTCTAAAACAAGCTGGGGGGAGGAGAGGGGGGTTACTTCTCCTCGAATTCCCACAACGGTTTCCATCGTAACTTTCCACCTTTCCACTGGGAATTCAAACCTCAGCGCGCGACTATAACAACGACAACTGACAGGAGTAAGCGGGAGCGCGGCGCGATTTTCGGGCAAAATGTACCACACCCCTGAAGCGATAGCCTAAAGTTTGGCCCTTACTGAACTTATTGTAAGCGTACATAGCAGAGTCTCTTGAGTCGTTTTCAAATGTTTAGCATTGTCAAATCGTACTCGGATGTTGGTAAGAACAGCACATTCAATTCGATTTCTCAGGGAGTCGACTTACAACCCTGTTCGTTAAAATCCTGAATTTGATCGTATCATCCTGTTAAATGCTTTCCCAGTCCACAAAATCGATTTACTCAAAAAAAAATTCATTTTCTACCACAGGCGTGTTATGGGGAAAAATCTGTCATGACTCCACGAGAATTTGATGTATTCTGGGACTCCCATTCTATGCAAAAGCCTACCGGCTAGGGCGAGCATGCCCCAAACGAGGCAAAATACTCACCGGTCCTCCATCATCGCACAGTTCACCTTCCTCTTTTTTACATTTGCCTTCTTTGATGTGAAAATTTGCAATGAATGGTGTGACAAACTTCAATTTACAACCACGGCACTCGTATAGATGGAATTCTGAAGAAGAACAATTAGAAGACATAGTCGTTGGACTGAGTTGATTGCTTATTTGTGGCAGTTAGTGAAAGTTTGAATTGAGCGACAGGTAATTACGCCGTGCATTTCGTTTCACAGTCGTTCAAGGGATTACCCGCGCAATCGTCACAGTTGAGCTGTTCTATGTTAAGTTACAAAAATATAAGGCCCTATTGCTTACCGTAATGCTTAGCAAGATGCTCGATCAGTAAACTTAGGTCTTGTAAAGGGGCAGCTAATCGATGCTCGACGCAGATATAACAGCGGAATATTCGAATAGGTGACTGAAGCATACTGGAAAATCTATAATTGAAGTATAAATCGAGTTGATAACTCATTCACGTTGATGAGCATTTCGTTAAAGAAAAACAATGCCATTTTTTGAAGGCATCAGTCACTGAACATCGCCGAAAATCCATGTGAAAGGGAGTGGTTATAAAACGTTCAAAGGAAAGTAGCACTTGAAAAGAGCGCCTAGACAACAAAGACAAAACCACAAGTGGGAATTCGGCAACAGTTCAGAATTTCTAAAAAAAAAATCGGTAGCCTCATTCCTTGTAGCAAGCAGGTGGTGGGGAAGTGAGGGGCGGCGCAGTTACAGCACTATACTTATAGTACGTAGTTCGGACAATCTCCTCCTCCTCACATAATAACCAAGTCTCCAGCCCTCGATCCTCGGTACCTCTTACTCAGTAATAAGTTCACCACCCCTGGGGGCTCTGAATTGTAATGATTGAATGATAACACTCCGTGGCCTCAGAAGAAGAGCGAGCCCCAATCCTCTTTCAAGTTTCCCCCTATAGGTCCACTTCCCTGTTCCCAAATACTTCCGATTGTTTTGGTAGGATTCGATAAGTTCAAGGATGTTAGTCGCCGCATCAGCGTGAGGAAATGGCTACAGAGGTCAAATGATAATAGTTTATAGTACTGATGACACAGTTCATAGCATAAAAACTGTTTTCTTGAAAAAAGGTATGTTTGCAGCTCCGTATGAATGTGCCGCTGTCTTAACCATCCGAGGGTCTCCCACATAAGTGCATACTCGCCGACGTCCTGACAATGAGGCTTCCCTTTGAATGAAGCAGCTTTAACACACAACCTCTTCCGAGTGTACTCGTCAGGCAAACCGCCGTCGGAGCCTTTCCCAGGGAAAGTATCAAGACCATGCCAATCGTGAACTGTGCCTTTAGCGGCATTCCTTCTATAGCTTGCCTGTACTCCTACCTACAATGATGAAGGAAGGACCAATGATGATGAACCGGTCAGCCCATATGGGTATTCAACCATGAAGCTGCAACCTCCTTGATAAAACTAGTTTTGGCTTGTTGTTCTTGTGAATAGTCTGTCAGAAGAAATCAAAACAAAAGCTTACAACTTCATGCTTCAAGGGCGGTATCGTCTCACAGGGCTCACCACGTTGTACTTGGGAATACGAGTTAGCCAAAGGTATAGGTTCTTTCACCCGAACGGCGTGCCGCCCACATTGCATCCCCGAATGCGCGCTATCCGTGCAGAAAAGGAGATCAAGCTCAAAAACAGCCCGATAGACCCGATCGTGTATAAAATAACGGCACCTCTTACCGGCAAACCACCTTGCCCCTACCTCACACAGCCATATTATGACGAGGAATTCGGAAAAGTATGCCTCAAATGTACCAAACTACCAAGTCATGATGAAGTACAGACAAATTTGATTGGAAATCGAAACAGCCCACAAATCAAATGATCCTTTATTCAGTAAGAAGAAGTGACACCGTAGCTCTTCATGGAACGTAAGAAGGAATCAAGACAGTACACAGTCTGAACAAAGACGAAATGTCGAAGTCCACCCACGAACGATCGTTCGAATGGTCAAAACCATCCCAACGAGCAGGTAATGAAAATTCAAAACTCCGAAGTAAACCTATTTGGAAAAAAATTGTATTTCTGCAAATATTGCCCACATTTGTAGATTAAAAGTACAGAATATCTTCATCAGTCAGAGAAAAAACTGGAAAAGCCATTTCAAAAAACGTGCTATACCCAGACAATGAACTCGGAGAGGAAAATGAAAAGATTTGGGACCATATGGCAAACAGTGGAACATGTGGCCAGAGTGTCACGCAACATCAGGGATCAAAGAGGTATCATCAATTATCATTTAGTACAGCCTAACATTGCCAGACCAGATAAATTCTGTAAAGACATGCCTTTGGCGATCCTTCACATAAGTCGTAAAGGCATTTGCGAAGTTATTACGGACGGACAAAACTCTTTTATGGCACACCGTCGTGACATGAGGCCAGACCAGCATCATATACTTTTTACATTATATATTACCAAAAATTCAATGGTTTTTGGCCCAAAAAGGAGAAGTTCAGAAAAGAACCTCTTTCCCAACAGCATCTCTGTGAAAAACAGTTTGGTATAGGATTTGTCAATTATTCCTTCCAAAGACAACAGTTCATCTTCAAGAATCATAACACAGTGAGTGAAGCTCCTTGCCGATCTCTTTCGTTCTTAAGTCCATGGAGCATTGTTTATTTACGAAACCCAGAAAAAAAAACATGCGATCGCTACAAAAGAATTTAAAAATAAGGAATAAAGAAAAGGCATGGGGGTCAAAAACTTGTGTTGAAAGGCGAACACTTATAGGATTAATTTCACGATAGCCTATCCACCTGCACATTTTCAGAAGAGAATAGATGGCAGGTCGACTGAACAAGTCCATACTGAGATGCTATCCTACGAGTAGAAAAACTTCAACGGCGCCTCTAGCCCCTGCACCACTGCGATCAGCGCATAGGTAAATGGACGCGAAAGCTACTCAATTCGTTTTAGGTGGATAGTTTGTGCTATAGTACACAGTATTTGAACAATGATGCAGAGTAAAATCAGAAAAAAACGAACATTTTACTTACTACCATAATACTCGCTCCCAATTAGAACGAAACTTCTGGGAAATTCTTCTTGAAAAAGAAAAGTCTGAGCTCCCATACACAAGCGTTGTTGAGCGAAGCTGTGACCGTGGAAAGCCTACGGCGGGGACGTCAGCGCCCCGGAAAATCAGCAAAACACACAGATCTTTAATTTTGCGAATATTTTGCAATGAGGTGTACTTCGGAAGCCGGAACTGATTATGACATTTCATTTGATTGGAAATATCATGCTTGCAATCCGTAAGGAACTATTGTGAATGGGAGTAGGAGCTCTCAGCCTTCCCGATGCTGTAGAATGCTGGAGTTTCCAAAGTTCAGCCTACCGAGGATTAGAGTTTCAATTACCCTTCTACGGAGAAGGTCAATTTATGAAAGGGTTCAAGGATGTATTTCAAAGAGCTCTTCGTGATTAAAGAATGCTTTACAAACCACGAGACGAGGACGTTATTGGGAATTTCTGGATTGTTAAAGTGACGTTCCCCCAAGAGAAACGTTCTCAACCTCTAAACTGCTTGAATTGGGAAATTCCAGAAGAAAAAGCGTTTTGAAAAACAGGTTGAAGAAGAAGAGTGTGAATACACCACTACTCGAATTACGGCAGTTTTACAAAATAAAACAGCGAGAGACGATGAAGGCTGAAGATTTCTCTGTTTCCGATTTTTGAAGCAAAAATGTGGAGAAAAAAGATGTGAAAAGACAGAATAGGCATGGAATTACTGGAAATTTTTAGCAAAAACAACCTTAAGGATTAGGAAAATGAAAACAAACAAGGGAATTGTTCAATGCAAAGTTAAAACTTGTAAAACTGTTGAAGAGGTGTGGGGGACCACCGAGTGACCATGACGGTCTGAATTTTCAACGTGGGTGGGCCAACAATACCAAGGGACCGTTGGATCAGTGAGCAAGGGTGGAGTCTCTTCGATGATTCCGTTCGACAGCTTGGCGCTCGTATCGATCGTGTCGGGGTGGCCTTGCTTGTTGAAAGCGTTCTACTAGTACATATTTACATCCCATTTTACTCAACTATGCATTAAATTTTAAGGGAACAATTTTAGTAAAGCAAAATTAGCCAAATATTTAGCCCTATAGACTTTTCAATGGTTTCCCTCGTGGGTTTGGTCATCCCTCATTCAAATGCCTGGGAAATATTCCAAAAAAAAAACCAACCACGACTTCTCCCTTTTACTTTTTTTCTTTAACTCCTTTAGAAATCTTTTTTGTCATCAAGAGAACCTGATATTCCTTATGAAGGACTTTTTTGAACTTTACTCTGTTAGTGTATAGCTGAAGTAAAGTTAGTGGCAAGATAAAATTCTTCAGGCGTCATTTGGTTCCCTAGAGAAAATGAGAGAAGACTTGCTGCATGTTTGGGTCCCCACTTCTTTTTGTAAGGTTTGCGGTAATAAGGTAACTACTTTGGATGAGCTCGAACGAACCAGTAAAATAACAGCTTTATCCTTAAGGCACACAGTACAGTTAAGGCACGAGATCTTCACAGTGAGAACAGTAATGGAGTACAATACAGCAGGTTAAGATACAATTGCAACAAATGAGATTTTACGAGAGGGATGAGTGTCGACACTACTTCTAAGGGCGCCAAGGTGTTAAAAGTTGCGGTCCTTCTCTTTGGGGATGACGTTAAGAGCGCGAGTTCAAGAGATTCCCCATTCTATGGTAAATCCGTGTCTGCAGCTCTTCCCGCGCACAGATATTTCGTAATCTTTCTAGATTTGCCTCGATTTTGTGCCTTCCTTACATGTTTGTGGATTTACTGGTTTCGTTGGAAGGCCTTCCGAAGAGCCGATGTCGAAGAGTCTGCTTCCAGCTTACACCGTCTACTTCGATGCTTCGTTTTTCTACCCAACTCGCAAAAACAAAGGCCTCCATAGCGATGAGTCAGGGCAGCTGTGATTCAGTGCTATTTTTTGCTAAACGGTGTCCCCGCGAAACGCTTTTACTTCTGCCCTTGCCTCTACCATATTCCATAAGAAATATTCGTGGGGTCTGAGACACTTGTTTAATACATACAGGTGGAAATAAAGGATAAAGGTCAACTCCTCTAGCTGCCTCTATTTGTAATTCACGGAGTCACAGGGAAAAGGATTCGATGAGAAGTCTGTTCTCCCGAAGTTCACAATGGAAAAGTCGGCCTTTACTTACTCAGATGATCAAGGGGAGATGATCAAGCTTGTCAATGAGCAGAAAAAATTCTCTTGGATAAAAGCAAAATAAGCAAGGGCTCCTGAGCGGAAAGGCTTACATGTCATCATTAGCATTAATCACTGCTCCCAAATTCTCATAAGGCAACAGTCGAGGTGGATTCATTCATTAATTTGCAAACTTCAACATTCTATGTTTCCCGAATTTTCTTGGCC